TGAAGAAGCTTTTTTAGCTTTCATAGCATGGATATGAATAATGTACTGATACTTGACAGCTGACAGCTCGCCTCTTGCTGTCTAGTAGAAACAAACTGTAGTGGGAAGATATTTTGAAGAATAATGGCAAATTGCCATTTGAAAACTGCAACATAAGAGAAGAAATAATAAAAGAAAGATTTCTTTTGCAAAGGAAAGCAATAGTTTCATTACTAGTTTCAATACCATTGAATGACAACAGAACTCAACCTGAATGTTTTGCAGTAGGAATACCTAAATTTTAATTTAGCAGTGATTCACAATAAATTGTCACTGTGCTGATTTCCAGTGCGGGAAAGATAATAATCTGTAGAATGCATGAGAATGAATGGTGAGAAATAACAAATCAAACTTATTTATAATAACATAAAAATGCTATTGAATGGCACCATTCCTTCTGATGCCATATGCATGATATGTCTTTATTTTCTGCAAATAAATAAGATTTTATGGTTATCATAGTTCAACATTATTAAATACTTTTTAGGACTAAAAATGCTCTTGTAGCAGCCTTGAGTAAACTCGTATTTCCTCTGGGCTTCCTGATGTTAGCTAACAAAACTGCAGATAGTTTTTCCTCATCATCTGATTAATAGTGTCTATTTTTCACTCAATAAAAATTTGCATTCAGATGTTGAGCTAGGAACTACATTGGTGTATCTTGGTGCCTTGAATCTGCTTTTTAGAAAATGCTCCCACTTTTTTTTCTTCTATGTGATTTAGTCTCCTTTCTGCACAACCAAAATCTGAAGAAGCCCAGGTCTTGGTGCAGGATGGAACCATGTGGCAGCTGGAATGTTCATGTAGAACTGCAGTTTTACAAAAACTCCTGGGTACCATGATCAGGTGTGTGGGCTGCTTGGTTATTGAATAATATATAACCCCCCAAATCCTTTCCTTAAAATGCAATTACTCACATGAATGCCAAGAAGAAGAGATTTGGACAAGCAATAAGGAAGGTGTGGTTTTTTTGGTTTTTTTTTTTTTTTTTAATGAAAAAGGAAGTTGGGAATGTGTTCCAGGTAGAATAGAAAGATGGAACAAATTTAGATTTATGTACAGTGCTTCACATTCATAGAGGGAACCCTTAGATTAAAAGCTGAGAGGGTAGAGGTTCTGCAGTACAGTGAATGGTGTATTAAGAGATGTATAGCACAGTGAGGCTGTGAAAATAAAGTGTCTCTATGCTCTCATCAAAGGGATGGATTTGGACTTCCATTTTTGCTTCATTGCAGTGCTGTTCAGATGTTGTCATAAAAAAATAGCTTTCTAATTTGAAGGTGAGGGCATTATATTCCTACTTTTCTGAATGGTAGAGTTGCTCTCTTATAGGTGGATTTGCAGCAAAACTTTGCCTGTAAAAAAAAATCTGTTATTTTCATGAGTCTTCTTAAAGAAGTAAAATAATTTCCACTATAATCTAATTTTTCTCTTACAGTTTTAAGGTGGATAAGAGATTGGTTTATCCACTATGCCTGAATATTAGGCTGAGGTACCTAGGTTTGACTAGCCAAAAAAAAGGGTGCCAAATCTTTCCATGCTTCTGCTTTCCATCCTGCAGACAATACTGTTTACTCACCCTTGTAAAGTCATTTGAGGCTTTGTATCCAAGACAGTGTGAGTATAATTCTGAACAGAGAGGGAAGAAAAAGGCTTAGAATCACTACATTTCATTTTTTTATAAAAAAGCATGGATTGTGACTTTATTTGCATAGCCAAGTGATTTATTTCTGTACACATTGTCTGTCAGAGATTCCTGTATAATTTTGTTGAGTAATGACACCTAAGACACTATGGATAATTGTTTTGGTATATATGCAATGTTCAATGTAAAGCGGTTTCATGAAGAGAACTGAAATGAGACACAGATGATTCATTTACACATTTATTTACTATCCTGCTTATTCTATCAGACTGAAATGGAGAACAATGCATTTATTTTAAAGACATTTGACATAAATTAAACAGATATTTTGATGTTGAACAATTGTACAGACTACAACATGCATATTAATATGTAGATTGGTGCAGAAATACTTAGTTGATCAGCAAAATCTAGTATGACAAAAAATAATAATCACATTTCCTTTTTTATGAAGTTAAAATGCAGCTGATATGGAAACATTGATACGAATACCACTAAATGTGAGAAGTTATTAGTCTAATGAAATCAAATGGTTAGTTGAAAAAAATAAAGCTATTGTCAAAGTTTTATCTACAGAAAGAAACTAAATCAAAATGTTTCTAACAAATACAATAATAATGAAAAAAGCATGTTTGATGCAATTACCATTGCAAAATGCCCTATTATTCCCCTGCCCCACCCCCAAAGACAAACAATGCATGAAGCAAAAGCAGCATATTCTCCCACAAAATGTCTGGGGCATTTTGTAAAGGCAGATGAATGAGATTAGACAAGACTCATCACATATGCTTTTATCTCCTAGTGACAGTACTTTTAAAGAAAGATATGTTATTAATAGAGCAATGCATGATGAAATGTTGCTAAATCTGTAAAACTGAACAATAATGAAGACACTGCTATTGCCCCAAGAGAACTTGAAAAAGTACTGTTGTGCTTTTTTTGTTTGCAGCATTCAGAGCATTCACAGAGGAATACAAAGTAAAGTTCATTAAACTCCATAAAACTAATAATAGTCATGCTACTGTATCTATGAAACTAACACAGTAATAACATATAAACATGAATTAGTACATATTTAATTTGATATTTACAGTGATCTTAAAGCAATAGGCTATGTATTCAATGCTCAGCTTCTTTGTACACTAATCCCTCCATGTTTCAGCTTATCAGCATGGCTCCTTTGATTTTTGAAAGAGTTGTACAGTTAAAACTCTGCAGAACTCTGATAATTTAGACATATAAATCCAGAACTCTGCATCCTAGCAGAAGTACCCATGATTGTCCCCAGTAGCAGTTTTTTTTAAATTTCTTTTTTAATGTATTTAGTAATGTGTTAAAAATTGTTTCTTTTGCCTAACACTATAATATATTGCTCCATCCTTCAGTTTTATACAGGCAGAATTCCCAGTGGCGTTCTGCTTAAGGACTTCAAGAACAGGCATAAATTTTTTGTACTCTGAACCTTCACAGAGAGATGCTATCTGCGCAAAACATAGAGCAAAAATATCACTACAAGACTTATGTCCTCCACCTTGAAAGGGTTAAAAGAAGTAAGATAAGGAATAGGCTTTTTGTTCCTTGCATTACTGTACAAGGTATGTCCCAGACATCAGAGCAGCAAAGCACACAACCAAAACCCTACAAGTTCCTCAATTTAAATAAATTTCAGCTGGTGATCCAAACAGGAAGATATCTAGATAATGGCAAATCAGCACAAAATACTCAAGCTGGGCTTCTGATCCTCCATCAATGCACAGCAATTTGCTTTTATTCATACCAGTATAAAGTCAGGGTTACTGGTTAAGTAAGGGTTAAGTGAAATAAAGATACCTGCAATAAGTTTACTCATTCCACTGACTTAGGAGTAAGTCTAGTGCTGTCTGTACTGTCTTCATTAAATGTAACACCAACTTAAGAGTAAATTCACTGTAGAAATATGCAGTATATAGAGTTTGGTCCAAACTACAGAACACAACTTTCCAAAGTTCATCAAGAATTTATTGCTTAAATGATTTTATGAGGGTTAGCTTGGGGAATGCAATGGGAACAATTTAATCTTTGGCTACATATTGCTTTTTATGCAATACCACTGATGAAAATGGCAAAATTCACTTGAATATGTGATTTATCAAAGAGCTACATGGGCTGAAGACAGTAGCCATGCTAGAGATCTATGTCTACATTAGCAAGTCATACAATAGCAGGAGATTTGTTGAGGACAACAGTTTGTGCTGACAGTTTACAGTTGGGGTACAATTTTTGGACTCGCTCTCATCTGGTATCAGGGCCTGAATGCTTTGTCCTGCCCACAGCATAGCTGGTGCCCTCATGGAAGAAGTTTTCTGGTTCAACTTCACCTAAAAGTAGTCCAGTTTCCATGGTGCAGGATTGCTTGGTTATGTGAACCAAAGCATGAGAAGTGGGGGTAGCTGAGAGATCCATGTCAAGAGATCTCTCCTGATTTTCTCTAAGATGCCAGTGTAAACTTAACCATAGACTTCCAGATTTAGAAGTGTACATTATTCCTGCTGATGCTAAATATGTATTTAAATATTTATTTGAGTTAAAGAATTACCCTAATGAAATTAATTACAGACTGCTGTTAGATTATTGGTTTATGTTAATCACAGGACTACAGCCGATGTCTAAGGTAATGACAGGTCACCATTCTGTTTAGTTGATAGGTATAACTAGGAAAATCATCTTTTTTGGATTAAATGTTAGCTAATACCATGTTTTTTTAGTTACTTTTAAGTAAAAAGAGCAGTAATATTTGTGTGCTACTTCCTTGTTTCACAGTGGTATTCATCAGGATCTGCGTTAGGTGTTATAAAAGAAAACTAAATATCAATCAATAATAATATAGGATTAGAAAGTATCACTGCTGTTTTGGAAGAAATCTCCATATTACTAAAGGGTAATGGCTCCTAAATATCATAACTCAGCATTTAAAAAATACTGTTTAAACTTGGAACAAAATAAATACAAAGACAAGTACATTACCCCACCTGCAGATGTCCCATGGTGTCCCATATTATCACTGAACAAGAAACCATCACACAATGCAAACAAAATTTTTTCTTTCATTTTTGCCTGCCAGTTACCTAACCTTCCTTTGTTAAGGAAACTGACAGAGGACCTGCAAAGGGTTTGGCTCCCAGAACACCTGATCTGTTTTAGAAAGCATTTCAGCTGGAGTTAAAGCTGAGCACCACTAATAAAACCAGGTTAGACAAAAGACAAATATTCACACCTAGACCAATGGCTCTCTTCATAGCATTTACCAATCAACTGCTTTTAAGAATGTTCTTGCAAGAACATTGAAAGCTCCTGTGTGAAGGATGGATACACTGTGGGGACACTGGAGAATTCAGAGCACTTTGCAACTAGAAAACAGGGAGAAGTGACACCCAGTTCTTGTACCTTGGTTAAAATGCAGCATCTGGCCATTTGCACCACACTACCAAAACACTTTCCTGACAAACAAGACACTCCTGTCATCTTGTTGGGTGGGCTGCCTTCTGACCACTCCCAAGAAGAAGAGAAGATTGATATTGGGGAGGAAATGGGAAGAGATCCAAAGATCAATAAAGATACCAACACGTGATATCTTATTTTTCAGGAAAGTCTTCTGAAAAATTATTAAAGATCAGATATTCATGTGGCAGGCGAGTGGGTAATGGCATCACTGAACCTGTTGGTTCTAGGTTAAAATTACGATGGAGGAGTGGAATTAAATCTCTTGCTACTGGCATTTTTACCTCATTCAGTGTGAACAAGGATTCTTTTACATGTGTTTTATTACATCTCTTTTTATATAGTACACTAAAACACGCCTTGTTTACTTACAGTTTTCTGACCTTCTTTCCCCCTTTGTTGTGTTTGTATTTCTTGCTTGATCTGTGCTGGCTACTTAGAAAAACAAAAGGCATATTTGTTGCATTATTTTGCTTCTAATATATATTTTTATGATCAAAATATGTATTTGCTGTCCAAGTTATTAAAAAATATTTGAATCAAAAAGCCAGTTAGTTAAACCCTGGACATATTTGGCAGTCTGACTATCTGCAATAGAGAGTCAAGAAGACAACTGTCGTTTTTACTGGACTGTGGTTTAGAGATAAGGTTGAAGCAGTTAATGAATAAATTGAAGGTCAACCTTGAAGGAAACAGAAGCTCAGTCAACATGAAGGGGAAGAGGAATACTTTTAAAAGAACTCATTGTTTTTCAAGGAATACAAATACATTGCCCAGTATTACCTGTTAGGAAATTACTCATGGAAGCCAATTGTCATTTAGATTTATGAGTGTTATAGGCAAAAATACAATTGTCTGTACACATTTTGGATTACATAATAGTGTGCTAAAAGGCTCTTCATGTCCATTGCTCTAGTGTTAGATCAGATATCACCTCTCTAGCATCACTAATGTTTGAATTTTGAGACCAATTGTGAAGTGAGGACACAGTGCATTAGATTGCTGCATTAGCACAGAGGCTTCTATAGTCTATACAATGTAGCATTAAAAGGCCTTTTGTGTTTTCTTTAAAAAAGTGTATTTTATATAAATTCGGTAGTGCAAAAACTTCCTACACCTTGTTACATTCTTTACATGACATATTTCCCCTGTAAACAGCTTTCCTGTAGGAACTTCCTTTGCAGTTTGTGCGATACATTATTCCCCCCTACCCTCTACGCCCCACCCAGATTTGGATTTATGTGATTATTACTCAAAAACTCTTCTAATTACTCTGTGAACATTTTTAAATATGTGCATTTCGTTTCATCATTGAAAAGGAATTAAAACTTTGATTCACGATTCTGCAGTTAGTAAAAGATATAAAAAATAGATCAATTGCAAAGCTATCTCCCTGAACATTCTTCATTTTCCAGTGATGCAAGGAGTCAGACCCCTTTCAGATACACAAAGGAGTCACTTCTTCCTAAGACTCCTTAAGCTGTTTTGAAATTGCACAGCTGCCATAAGAGACTGACTCCAGAACTCAGACACATTCTCCCCTTACGTGGTGAATGGGTAATAAGTCTGAAATGGCTTCAAAGTTTTAGAAAACCAGAAAAATACACTTGTGTAGTTTTGCATAATTTGCTGCATATCAACCCATGATGAATGAAACGGTCCCGGCCTGCACTTCTTACACCTGCTGTACTGGATAGAAAGCTAGGTCCAGTCTGCAACTGCTCAAAAAGATGTTTTAATCAGGAATTATACAAGTTTGGTATTCAGAGGTGGATCCTGTATATGCAGTCAAGACTGGAAAAACCACATTTCTAAACCTGTGCTTCTGGAAATAGTTTTCAGCATAGACAAAAGTAGATAACAAAATTATACCAAAAGCACTTCTAAAGCTTAATCATTTTGCTTCCAGTATTTCAAAAAAATAAAGCATCTGTTAATAAAGTGAATTATATTTCTTTCAAAATAAATGTGCTTCTCTGAAAACATTTAAAATACAGCAGCAAATAAGGGCCTGGTCTTTCATCTGATTTATATAATTAAAGCTCCTGTTGATTTTCATCAAGAGGGAGAGACTATTGGTTTTGTCATTTAGATTTCAGTCAGTCCCTTTTTCCACCAGACTCCCATTGGCTTCAGGGGAAAATCATTTGCACAAGAATCGAGGCCTTGACTTTACTCCTTTTAAATTTGTAGTGATTGTAATGGGCCGGAATCAGGTTTGCATGAACTTTAGCTCAGGAGAGCTCTAGGAATGAAATCTCTGTTCCTGCAGTAGGTTCCCTATGGCTGGACTCCTCCCTTTCCATCAAGTGTCATAGGTCTAAGGGGCTTTTCCAAAGTGTAAGGGTCACCTGGGAGAAAAAGCACACACAAGGAACATGACAGACCTCAGTCTTGCCAGAACAACAACATTGTCTTGAATGGGAAATTTCTGTGGATCCAGAGCATGGGACCAGGTTCCATTTGGTCTTAATCTGGACTTCAATAGTTCACTAGGATGAAAAGGCAGATCAAACAGGCCCATGTGATTTCATTAAACTGCACATAGAAAATACAAACCAACACTTCAGGCATATAAAAATTGACTGGCATTTAGTTTTAGTCACCAAAAATATCTAGAAACTAAAAAATAAATGTAGAAGAGTAATGACTATAAAATATTAAAGAGCTAAGTTTGGGGACAGTGAGACACAACATGATTGAAAAGTGTTATGCAGAATACAATATAAATACATAAAACTGAATGCAGCAACAAGTTGAAATGAACTGCAATTAAAGACAAAAAAAATATTTTGAGAATTAATGACCAGATATTGTTTGAAAAAAAAAGACATTGTATTCTCAGGTATTCAAATGACTGAAGAGATACCTCAATATTATCTTGTTACAGAAATAAGAAAACTGATGGAAATATAGAAAACTTTTTTTTAAAAAACCCATCTAAATGATTGTGCTGTGGTCATTGTTTGGCCCAGCCATCAGGATCAATATTTTTGGGCTCTTTCCTATGTGTCAGACTTGAGTGAGGTCTGTGGCATTGGCCCAGCCGTTTAAGCAAAGGGTCACATTGCAATAGAAATGGTTATTCCTTTACACTAAATGCATTAGGTGCCTGGTTGTTACATATTCAAGTGACAGAAAAAGACACAAGTAAAAATTAATCTACTAACCTATGGTAAGTAGAAGCCTGCTGTTCCAAACCATGCATTGATTGGTCTGTCTTCCTTACCAAAAAAAAAAAAAACGCCAAAAAAACCAAACCCAAAAAAAACCCCAGAAAACCCCCCCAAAAAAACCCCAAACAAAACAAACGGGAACGTTTTCTAGGGCATGTCTGCATAACTGCTTACATTTGCTTATGATTAGAATTCATGAACTGAATAAACTTTTTATGATTTAGGGAATTAAAGCACTCTAGAAGCTTTTAAAAAATATTTTATAGTGTAAGAAGCTATGTATTCTGGATAAAATAAAAACAGGTTTTTTTGAGACAGTGGTTAGATGGGTACTTTGTAATGAAGGCTTTGGTTCAGCATCTTTCTTTTACAAAGCTGGAGAAATCAGAGAAATGAAAGATGCTTTGGCAGTTGTCAGTGGAATGACATTTTCCTTTATTTAAGTAGAGTGGAAATCCTGTACTCCCTTTCAGAACAGCTGTGGAATAATGGTAGAGGCAAAGTTGGTGAGTCAAGTGATATCTTCTGTCAGTCCAAATGATTGAACTGAAAAACACAAAAAAGCTTTGGGGTATGGAAGACCTGAGGCAAATCACATGTAGTGAAGCCTTTTCTTCTCCAGCTATATGATTTATGATAACAAAAGGCATCACTTTCCCCTACAAACTTTGTCTCTTATGTCCTTACACCTTAACAGCTTCAACAACATTGCCATTACTGAAGTATGTGCACTGCATGGAGAACAAAAGGTAAAAGATCAAAGATCATGTAAAAGCAAATAGTATTAAATCAAAGGAAAACTAAGAGTGTGGGAAATATTTTTCTTAATACCAAGGTATAGTCTATGAGGTTGAAAACTTGGATATATCTGAATAGCCATTTGGCACTGTTTATTGCCACAGAAATAATTATGAGTTTTAAATTTTAAAATGGAACTTTTTTTCCTCAGTTATGAAATGTTGGCAATTTTCTATAAAAATATCAAATGATTCAAGTTCTGGTCATTAAATCTTTGCTTTCCCTCACAGGATCATTAATTAAACTGACAAATGCAATAAGTGAAGTTCTGCAAGTAAAAAAAACCCATCATGATTTATAGCACAGATAAACTAAAAATACTGTAGTTCTTAATTAACAGATATACTCATGAGCTTTTTAACAGAAAGCAAGATACGTGAGATGCTTTAAGTAGAAGTTGCAATTTTGCAACATAAGTCTGTACAAAACCTCCAGGCAGCACGCTGTGAAGGAAGTACCTGTGTCCCAGGAAATGCTTTTTCCATAAATCCTTGTTAACAGTAGCTTTCCCCCCAACCCCAAACTATTTACAAGTATATGAATTTTGCAAGCTCAAAGCACCTTGTTTCACATCCTTATGAATGCATGCATTGACATTTCATCCTTTCATGTGCAAATTCTAAAATTCATTGTAACTGAGGGAAAAAAGAAAGTTTAAAGAGTTCAAAACCTATCTACAATCATAATTGAAAGGATCAAAAATGTCAGATGTTGCAGACCACTGGCTCCTAATAAAGCTCTCTTTATTGTATTCACCATTCTTGAGTAATTTTTCCCTGTTTTTTTTCAGTTTGTTACAAAAGCAGTCTTTTTTTTTTTTTTTTAATTAAACAGTATTTAAACTAAACAACTCTTCATGCCATGCAAAAATAACATTTTATGCACTTTTGTTGAGGCTTTCCATGTTTTAGTTCATAGGCATTACTAACTGTGTTTTAAGAAAAGATATTTTTATTGCTTCTGTAACTAGTCACATGCTAGTTTCGCGTGTAGGACAATAACCAGTTTCTCCTGGACTTGAATGAATTTCTGGAGCAAATAAATGGTTTTCCATTTTGTGACCTTCTTGGTTAGTGTCTGGCTTTACCTCACCCACAGCATGGTAAATGTCTTGAGTACAGTTGTGGCTCATGCTTTTGGGTGAAGAGCTGACCTG